ATGGAAACCAATTTGGCAATAAATTTCATATTAAAAAAATAAAATAAAATGTTCCTGATTTTCCCCAACCAGGTGATATAGCATAAAATTACACATCTGATTTGTTCATTTTACACTTATTGAGCCCTACTCTGTGTTAGTCACTGTGCTGAGTCCTGGGTTTTCATTTAGAAGATACACTGCCAAACTTCAAGGAATTTCCAGGCTATGTATTGGGCACACAGAGATGAGAACAAAATTTAATACAACGTTGACATTTTTGTAATGGAGATCTGTAGACTGGGAGATTGGGAAGTGTGGAGTCTGTATAGGAAGGCAAGGTCCAGATCAGAAAGGACCTTGAACACTATATACAGGAATTCAGATATTATTCCATCATAAACATGAGGAAACTGAAAAGTTTTGAGGAAAAAAATGACAAAAATTTTTAGGGGCACCTGGGTTGCTTAATTGGTTAAGAGTCTGATTCTTGGTTTTAGCTCAGCTCCTGGTTTGTGAATTTGAGCCCTGCTGTTAGCACAGAGCCTGCTTGGTATACTCTCTCTCCCCCTCTTTGTGTGCCCCTCCCCTGCTCACACTTCCTCTCTCTCTCTCTCTCACTCTTTCTCTCTCTCTCTGTCTCTCAAAATAAATAAATAAACTTAAAATTTTTTTAAAGAATTTTTATGTTGGGGAAGATGAATTGGAGGGGATAGTGAGTGACTCAGCAGAAAAACCATAAAACTGGTTTAATCTAGATGGACGATATTTAATCTAGATGGCCTGATTTAAAATCAAGACCTGTTAGTTTTTGCTAGTTGCCTCATTTTCTTGGTATCTCTTACTTAAAAATTAGAGAGAAGTAATCTTGTTACTCCAGTTCATCATTTGTTCATCATTTGTATCATATGTATGAAATTCATAGGCGATTGATGCTGACCCAATCTGTAGCCAAGCTAATCACTTATGAAGTGCCCTGAGTAATCCTGAAAAATGTATCCACTCTGGATTCCACTTTTGGATTTGGATGAAATCCAAATGTTAGTGGATTAGGGAGTTTATTGCAGGTGTAGGGGGGGAGGTAAGGGGCTTGGCTGTGTAGGGAAGAACAAACTAGTGGGGAACACAGGATCAAAGAAAACAAGGAAAAGTTTTTGTTTTGTTTATTTTGTTTTTTAAGATAGCAGAGGTTCGAATATAGGAGTCATTGGCTAGGAAATGGTTGCAATAAAGAGTGTTTAATTTTTTAATTATTGAAGTAATGTTAATGTGGCAGAAGATGGGATTCCAGAGCACAGGAAGATCAATAAGTCTTATATAGGAAGAAAGATGCCTCTCCCTCTGCAGTGGAGTTGAAGAAGAAAGGGGGAGTGAGGTGCAGATAAGTTTAGAAGTGGGCACAATCTGCTTACTAACACACTTTATGAAATAAGCAACAAAGAGAGCTGCTTAAGTGACTTAAAGATTTCCAGTAATTACTGAGTAAAATTCAAATAGGAGCCTAACAACTAGGGATATGATGAAGTGGGTTTTTTTTTCCTCCTGCAGCCAAGATGTAGGTTGGAAAAAAGTGGACTAGTCCAGAGTTGAAATGGAGTTAACTTGTGACTTGGTAGGAGTTAATGCTTATTTTATTTTTTCTATTTGTTTGGCTAAACTGTTTGTTTCATTCTTGTCTTCCATATTTTTTCTTTTGCAGGTCTTGATGATTGTTTGCAGCAGTATATTAAGAACTTTGAGAGGGAGAAGATCAGTGGAGACCAGCTGCTGCGCATTACACATCAGGAACTAGAAGATCTGGGGGTCAGCCGCATTGGCCATCAGGAATTGATCTTGGAAGCAGTTGATCTTCTGTGTGCACTGGTAGGGACATTAACTGGTGGAAAGTGAAACTTGTTTTATTTCATTTAAATTTTTTTTTTTAATTTTTTTTTTTAACGTTTATTTTTTTGGGACAGAGAGAGACAGAGCATGAACGGGGGAGGGGCAGAGAGAGAGGGAGACACAGAATCAGAAACAGGCTCCAGGCTCTGAGCCATCAGCCCAGAGCCCGACGCGGGGCTCGAACTCACGGACCGCGAGATCGTGACCTGGCTGAAGTCGGACGCTTAACCGACTGTGCCACCCAGGCGCCCCTTAAATTTTTTTTCCCTTTTTTTGTTTCTTCCCTTCTTTTTTCTCCTCTATTTAAAATAATTTAATTTTTAAAAATTTATAACTCTCCTAATTCTCAACTGACTAGAAGTGGTATTTTCCCCCTTCATTAAATTTGGTATATTATATAGTGCCAAATTACAAATTAAAGAGGCTTATAACCCAACTAGTGACATTACGTTTAGTTACTTCAAAACCATATGTTAGAGCTCACCAAGGAAGTGTTCACAGCATCATTTGGGGTATGCAGGTGAATATGATCAGTTATAAAGTCCATTCCCCTCTGAAAGTTTTGATTTAGTGTCACAAATATTAAGTAATCCTATTAGAAACATCATTGTTAAAATAATCAAATTATTTGAATGTTCTAAATGTATACCTCCAATAAAAATTGAATATTATACATTATATGGTCTATTTTGTCAACTTACAAGAGAAATCAATGTCAAAATAATCCTTCAGGAGTCTGATAACACATTATATATTCTGAAAGGAACATTTTTTTTCCATGTTGGGTAAGGTGACACCGGATTAATTTTAAATTTTTGTAGATAGTTGCAAGGGGGCTAGAGCTACAGTGAGAAAGAAAACGTGAGTCTTGTAATATAATCATCTGTGATTGACATTTGGCTCAGTTACTGACACTTGTGGGCAAGTAATTTCATCACAACCTTAGTTTTTTATTTAAAATGTTGATAATAACAACTGCCTTTTGGATGTGTTGTGAAAAGCAAATGAGATAGCGTTTATATAGTGCCTAATTCAGTGCCTGGCCCACAGTAGGCATTCAATAAGTAGTTAACTATTAAGATGATAATTAATAAGAAATGAGTAGATAATTCTTAAAAATTCAATTGTCAGTTAATACTCCCAGGACTTGTGTGTCAGATGTAAGTTCCTGCCCTCTTGAAGAGCCTTAGGGGTGGAGAGTAGCACACAAATAATCACAATACTATAGTATAATTACCAAAATAAAAGTATAAGCTAAGTATTATGAGGGCACAGAAGAGAAAATAGCTAGCTTTGACTATGATAGATGGGTTCATATTGCAAAAGCATCCTAGAGTAAGATGAGCATGTGTTTGGAAGAATAAGAACAAAGGGCTTTCCATGTAGGTAAAACAACACCTACACAGGCACACACAATAAAGAGCATACCTGGTAGGTTTGAACTGTGGTTAACTTTTTGACAGGACAAAAATACATGGGAAACATTGGCAGAAGATTAGGCTATAAAATATAGAATAGGCCCAGACTATAAAGTACCTAAACATCATGGTAAGAGATTTGTACTTTCTTTTGTGGATATTGGAAAACCATGTAGGAATGATCGAATACTTATTTTAAAAAGGTAACTGATGGTAGTGAAAAGGATGGGATGGAGTGGGCATAATCTGAAGACCAGGTGAACTGTTTGGTAATGTGTAAAATACTCTACTTAGGCTACCAGTAGGGCTTAAACTAAGGATGTGGAACAGGAATAGAGAAGATGTGGTGAATATGAGGGATGAGATAAAGGGAGTTGAGAAAGATTCCATGCTTTCTAGCTGCAGAAATAGAGTAGATGATTTTGCAATAATGAAGATGGACAGTAGTATCAAGAATAGATTTAGCTGGGAATATAAATTGAGTTTTAGATTTGTTGAATTTGAGACATCTCTGAGTTATCCATGAAGAAATCCTCATCACATAGTTGAACAAATGAATTTGGAGGTTGAGAAGTGGCTAAAGATAGAGATTTAGGAGTCTCCAGGATATAAGGATTGAATCCATAGAGAAAGAGCAGATCTACCCAAGGAGGGTCTGTAGAATATAATGAACAAAGGACTCAGCTCCACATTTGGGCTGGGAAGGAAGAAGAGGAAGCTGCAGAGGAGGCTTATGGTGTGGTCAGAAAAGCGGGAAGATAACTTCAAAAGAATTGTCAGAAAAGCAATGGGGAGCACTTTTCATTAAGGAACATCAATAATATCAAATTTCACTAAAAGCCATTAGAATAAGCAAGTAAAAACGTGATTGAGGGGTGCCTGGCTGTCTCAGTTGGTAGAGCATGTGACTATTGATCCTCAGGGTCATGAGTTCAAGCCCCACATTGGGTGTGGAGCCTAGTTAAAAAAAAAAAAAGAAGAAAGACCTGACTGAAAACAGTTTCTAAAAAAGATTACAATGTGAAACCAGATTGATTATTACCTTCCACTTAGACAGCTCAGTCTTAACCTTAATTGTCATTTCCTCAAAAAGACATTCTAATTATTCTCTCACCATTGACTGTTCTAAAATTAGCCCCTTACCGTTATTCTTTTAACCTTCATCTCATTTTGTAAGTCCACATTTGTCAGTTTAATGTCTGTTTCATCTGCTAGATTGTAAGCTATGTGGCAAAAGTAACTATGCTTATTAAACACCTCGTGTATACCACAGATCCCTGGCAATAGTGGATGCTGAATAAATATTTTTTGAAAGTGGCATTGTAAAAGTCTTGAGACATTTTTCACATGATAGTTTGGGGATCTTCTTATTTTCCTATTGCTGAGATAAGAGAAATCAGTTTAGACTCGAGCATGCACTTGCACTCTATCCCTTATCAGAATCAGATCACAGAAATTATGCTGGATATAAGAGATGGTACTCAGGGTAAGGTAAGAGTCTTCCATGGTTTTGCATACTAGTCTCCAAATATGAGTCAGTGTGGCCATGAAGGTGCACTGGAAGTGGCTTGGACATGAGCACACCATCTAGCAGTCCTCTATCTGCCACGTCTTTTATAACAGTAAGTAATTGGGTGTGTCAGAGTTCAGGGTGTTATGTCTCATAAGCAGGACTCCACAGATGAACCACTCACGTGCTGAACTTTACACTGTCAGTTTGAAGAAGGAAATAAGATTGATGATTACAGTTCTACCCACAAATAGTCTGAACCTACAGGCTTTGGAGTTTGGGTCATTAACAATCTCTGCTGACCTAAACTTACTTAGAAAGATGACATCAGAGGGGCACCTAGTGGCTCAGTCGGTTGGGGATCCGACTTCGGCTCAGGTCATGATCTCACAGTCTGTGAGTTCAAGCCCCGCGTCAGGCTCTGTGC